GTTCAATGGCAAATGCCAACTGAACTCTATGGTGCCAGGCAGAAAGCACAAGGCCCACTAGAGGACCTCAGGCCACCCTCATGAAGACTTTTTCTGATTGTTTGGTCAGAGACATTCACACCAGTGACCTGCTGGAGGTCATTTTGTAGGGCCCTGGCAGTGCTCATCCTGTTCCTTCTTCCACAAAGGAGAAGATACTGGTCCTGCTGATGGGTTAAGAATCTTCTGCAACTCTGTCCAGATCTACTAGCGAAACTGCCTGTCTCCTGGAATCTCCCCTATGCTCTTGAGACTGTGCTGGGAGACACAGCAAACCTTCTGCCAATGGCACATATTGATGTGCTATCCTGGAGGAGTTTGACTGCCTGTGCAACCTCTGTATAGTCCAGGTATCGCCTCATGCTATCAGTAGTGACACTGACCCTAGCCAAATGCAAAACTAGTGAAAAACAGTCAGAAATGATGAGTAGGGAAAAAAATGTCATTGGCCTCCACCTGTAAAACCATTCCTATTTTGGGGGCTGTCTCATTGTTGCCCATTCAGAGCACTTGTTGTTAATTTCATTAACACCAAAGCAGCTGAAACTGATTAAAAAGCCCCTCTGTTTTGAGCAATGTATGTATATATACAGATTACATACAGTATATAGACAAAATAACCAAGGATAACTAATTATCACACAACAGTCGGTGTTTTATGGATTTCAACTGTTATTCCCCTGCAGATGGAATAAGCTCAAAAATGGCACAAAAAATTACAAATAATAGTAAAAAAAAGCCCCAAATTTTAAAAATATATGAATTTGGGTGGTTATGTTATTGTGTGGAGAGCGATTAGATTGCAACAAGAAAGATGGCAATTGGCTATGTTATTTAGGCAAGCAGACTCACCAGAAAATAGATTAGAATAACCCTCCAAATAAACCTTTTGAAACCTTATGATTGATGGTCAGACCCAAAGATGGCTATCAATTAATGGGTGGAGTTTAACTTTCCCCAAAAATGGCATCTAGATAGGCTGAAGCTGTCATCCTGGTGAGGTGTCAAATCATGTGTATAAGATGTTTCTGGTGGGTGTCCTGCCGTGTGTTCAGATGATGTCTAGATAATCTTAGGTGGTCTGTATGTCCTGAGTTTGATTGTGATCCCTTTGTCTACCTGACTTCCTCTTTTATCAAATAGCACACAATACATTCATAAAATTTTAATAAACCTGGCCCAGAAGGTGAAACTTTTGTTATGACTGGTGAATTAGTTTAATAACCAATCCCACCTTTATTTTTGCATTACCACCCTTTGATCACTGAGTGTCACTCTCAGATAAGTCATGACTATTTTGAGTTTAATTGGAACTGAAGTAACTACTCTATGACAGAGAAAAATAAATACTTCACTATAATCAATTAGACCTTGTGAAAGCTACCTAATGCCGTGGAGAGTAAATATGATTACTAATTTATGATCAGTACTTTCTGGGGTAACAATAATTGAATGGAGAATTTTAACTATCAGGAGGTGGAATTGCATATAGCAATTAAAATAATAGTTGTACACATACAAAAAAAAGAGAAAAAAAATGTATGTAATTTGTATACTAAACTACTTAAACTACTTACTGATTATGGCTATGGTAGCACAAATACTATATTTCTAAACAATAATGAGAGAGAGCCCAACACACTGTACAGATAAGGGGATTATAACTTCCCTTTCAGTCTTCCTTCAAATAATATGATATTCCATCTCGAACATACGGTATGCATATTCTAGCAAACTTAGACCAAGGATGTTGGCCTGTTTTTGCTAGGTCCAGTGTTTGTCAAACAGATACCATTTGGAGAAAAATCAGAAGAGTCTCTCCCAGGATTCAGGTGGGGGAAGTAACAGAAACCCATTGTTCATAGGATTAGTTCTGTAAGCGAGATTGTTTATAGAACCTCAGCAGTCTCAGTTGAGAAAAGAGAATGTCTTATGATGGGAAGATCAAACGTAAAATGAAGGCATGACTTGTTTGAAATCTGTCAATCAAGTAAAGTGCACCAAGGAAGCAGTGCACCACTTCAAGCTATTAATGGAAATCAATCACAGGTCACTTTAAAAACCACAGACTCCCACCTTCATACACCAGCTGAGCAGCCAGGCTTCCTGACAGTCATGATAACATCACTATGCTTCACCTTGGTGCATTTCGCCACGCCCACATGCTTGCTTCAGAAGGAAACATAAAATAAGTAGAAAAATATAATACGTACAATTTCCTTGTTTATATATGACCACATGACATATTATCAGCCTAACTACACCTCCCTGTAGCTAACAGTTGGGACTAACAGAAACACCACCTAATAACATACTGTATATACAGGTGCACAGGTGCATTTAAATGAAAATGAAATGCCTCCTCCTCATCAGCAACAATAATTCTTCTTGTTCTTGAACAGGAGAAGACAGCCATACTTGGATACCTGCAGAACAGTGGAAGAAAGGAACAAGCACAGGAACATCACATTCCTAAATCTAACTGGCTAACTAGATATACTGTGATATAATGTCCATTCAATGAGCAAGTAACTTAAGGAGGAGTCCTCCTGGTGAAATGGCTAGGCGGTCTTTCTGCAGCTTCCCTAGACCAGCATCTCTAGGAAACATAAACGGACTAGAGTCTGGCCTAGACCACAAAGATAAAATGAATTTCAGGAGCCTGCTTGGATGGAATCCTGCATCAGCCATCTTCTGCAGTATTTTCAGGGGCTAGGCATTCTTACCATGGTGCCATCAGGCATCCGAACAGACACGGAATAACTACAGTTTGGCTGACCAGCCTTGACAACCACCTCCCAGTCCTTCTAAATGACCTGGCCCCTGCTCCACTCCTGTTTGATGTCCTGGAAGCGAATCCAAGCCTCTTTGAAATGAGGCCCTCTTAAAGGCCTGGGGACATGCATATAGTCCCAAACGAAATCATCTTCCCACTTTGATCTGAACTCCTCAGTGATGTCCATGATGTCCTGTGGGATGAAGGAATAGTCCAGTCCCCACTCAAGAGTCACTCTCTTCTGCAACTCCCTCTGAAACTAGGAGAATTGCGGAAGGAGCCTGGAGACTGAAGGATCCACCACTCCAAAGATTTGTTGTTGGCCCGGGTTCTGGGCCAAGGTAAGGAAAGCTTAGGTTGGGCCCTGGGGGGCATCTGCATAAGCACAGTCCTCCTGGAATGTCCAGCTGACTCTGGGGTATGGGAACTCTCTAATGACCCTGACCCCAAGTCCTCAGTGGCCTCCCCCCAGTCCCATTCCTCCTTAGTATCATCTTGGGACCATTCTTCCTGCTCGAATTCTAGGGGCCCAAACTGAGCTAACAATCTGGGTGACTCCCAATTTATCCCCCCACCACTGACACTCTCTGCTGGCTCACCTGAGGACTGGACATCCTCGTAGATAGGCTCCTTCCAAACAGAACTGTCAGGGTTGGTGGGTGAGGCATCTGCTGGTCGTGACTGAGAACTACTTGTGGGCACTGGTCCTCCAGCAATTTCTCCAACTGGATGATAGGTGATTGCAGGCAGCCATTCTCCATTGCAAGCATCTGCCATTGGGGCAGTGGAGTCATGGTCCTCCAAATTCTGCACACTTTCTAGATCTCTGACTCTCCAGATTCTCCATACACAGGACTGTCTGCAGGTCCACACTGTAGGTGTGAGGCACCAGGTCACTGGGCATCAGCTTGTTGAGTGGCTCTGCACAGTGCAGATCCATTCTCCGATCAAAGCGGTTGGTTTCTTGAATTCAGGGCAAATTAGACATAATCTCTCTGCTCCCTCAATCAGTTCTAGGGCAAAACCTGCACAATGCTCCAGGCAGACTTCCATGTCCACCAGGGTCACCGTTGGCATCTTCAGCCACCAAAACTTCGGCACAGCTTGAATGACACCCATCACCTTGCTCCTCTCTTTCTCATCATGCTGGGTGTACTGGGTGGATATTTTGGCACCAGCGAGACTGCTATGCAAATGTAATGAAGGTCATTGTAACAGTAAAGTTTTTTAACTATCATGAATGGTTTACATTCATGACAGCTGTGGTTGGCTACAGCTAAGCACATGGTACATGATACAGGGTCCTGTGATTGACCCAGGTATCATGTGATAACTGTGGTCCAATCATAGCATAGGAAACACAGTTGTTATGAATAAATTCATTCATAACAGCTTTTTTGACATTGTGATCATGTGATCGCATAATGATAACATGATGACTGGGCCCCGAGTACTGGAATCTGAAATCTGCTGTATTCTAATGCAGATGATGTACATGTACGTAATCTGGTTTGCCTGTGCCGCCCCTACAAAAGGGATAACAGGCGTATGGTGTGGCAGTCCATGTATGTTTGATGAGTTCCAAATGGGCAGGGGTAAAGGTAGTCCAGTAGGCACTAAGAGCAAGCTGTGTAGGAGCAAAGCATAACTCTGCAGAAGGGAAACAAAGAAACGCAGCGCCTCTAAGTGTGTACCTTGAAGGTATTTAGTAGAAAGATAAGTAGTAACTCACATCTTATAATTTAAAAACAGGCTCATGGGTAAGAGGGTGAGATGTCCGTAGCCAAATGTAGTTGTGTGACTGATTCAGAGAGGAGATCTGGCTACAGACGTCTCACCCTCTTACCTATGAGCCTGTTTTTAAATTCTAACATGTGAGTTACTACTTACCGTATTTTTCACTTCATAAGACGCACCTGACCATAAGACGCACCTAGGTTTTAGAGGCAGAAAACAGGAAAAAAAAATTCTGAACTAATGGACTGCAGACATAGTACAGGAGATGACCAGAGACTGTGGACAGCACAGGGATGACCAGAGACTGCGGACAGTACAGGAGATGACTGCTGACCTTTGGGGAGGGGGGGGAGTGGGTACTTGAATTTGACAGGTACCCGCTCTTACTTCCGCGGAGTTGTTCTTTTATCTTACCTGTTCCTCTATCCAGCCGCGCTCTGTCTGAAGCACTTGCGCTTTGTGATTGGTCCGGCGGCTTCTGGGATCTGTCATGTGTCCCAGGTACCGCCTTACCATTCACAAAAAGCATCGCTTCTTGCGCATGCGCACTTGGCACCCGGCTGTCAAGCCCAGTGCCGACACTACAGAAGCCGGGAAGACAGCGCGCCGCTGGATAGAGGAACAGGTAAGGTCAAAGAACAACTCCGCAGAAGTAAGAGCGGGTACCTGTCAAATTCAGATACCCGATCCCACCTCCCCAAAGATCAGCAGTCATCGACATAAGGTCCCGCTGCAGAGCTGAGCGGCCGGCCCGATATTCTGACATGGCAGTGGTGGAAATACCGGACCGGCCGCTCCATATTCGCTCCATAAGACGCACTAACATTTTCCCCCCTTTTTTGGGGGGAAAAAGTGCGTCTTATGAAGCGAAAAATACGGTATCTTTCTACTAAATACCTTCACAGTACACACTTAGAGGCGCTGTGTTTCTTTGTTTGCCTGTGCCGCCCGCCTGTCCGCAATGAAAGAAGTGTGAGCAGTTAGCAAGTGGTTAAATATATTCCTATATATATAAATATATATATATATATTTTATTACAGGTACATATGTAGCGCTGTCAATTTATGCAGCGCTTTACATATAAATTGTACATTCACATCAGTCCCTAACCCTCAAGGGGCATACAATCTAAGGTCCCTAACTTACATTCATACATACACATACTAGGGCCAATTTATACAGGAGCCAATTCACTTACCAGCATGTCTGTGGAGTGTGGAAGGAAACCGGAGTACCCACAGGAAACCCACGCAGGCACAGGGAAAACATGCAAACTCCAGGCAGGTGGTGTCATGGTTGGGATTTGAACCAATGACCCTAGTACTGCCAGGCAGAAGTTATATATAAATTGTAAATCCACTTTGGGTACACCAAATGCCAGATATTACCTTGTAGAAGCAGTGGTGAGATCATAGCTGAACATAGCTTGTGCGAAAAACAGAGCTGTGAGATGGACCTAGCAGGTGCTCCCACTACAAGCTGTTAATGAAAAAAGTGGGCTGATACAAGACTGGTCCCCTTGCACAATGAGAGAGTACAGCAGTGAGTGGTCTTCATCACAGGAAGCTCCTGCACAGAGGCAAAGTTCCCCAATAGATTACTGCACAGATCTGGAGGAAATGCACAAAGCACACCAAGATTTAATTAAGAATACACATGACTTTTGTAATTAGACAATATTAGCTTACTCCAGGGTTCAGCTTTAAATTAAAACTATGTACAGCAGTTTTACATCATCCCAATGACTTCCACTTTAAAAAGACGAAACTATCGGATACGACATAACTAACATTGCCCTACAAACTCTCAGCTCACAGGCAGACTCTATTTAGCTATTGATGTGGTATCAGGAATTCACTGTAAACTGATGCTCTTGAGAGATGAAGTCTATTGAATGACACAGACCACACAGAGCTGTCATTGATTTCTGGGGGGGGGGGTCTGATCATTCTTCATTGGCCATTGATTGTCTTCCTGGAGGACGGCGCTTTACATTTGTCACTGCTTATCACAGTTAAGTAAAGAAACTCCTAACTCCAACAGAGATTGATCTGACTTTACCCTCACCAACCGACTTTAATGCTTTAATCTCCCATCTCTTGACAAAGATCTGCAATTATTAGGACATCATACAGGTTAATGTCTCTCTTTTATTAACAGAGCAATTTCAATTAAAACTTAATTTCCCTGGTGATTCTGTTGCAAGCTTTACTAGCTAGTAAACAAGCTGGACATAAAATGAAACAGATTTTATCTGGTTTGTTAATAATAACTGAAGGCGGAACGTCATTGATTTTGAAAAGTGAAGTGTAAAGCCACCTCTGGAAAAGTTTACAACAATGGAAAATTTTGAAATATAATACAAATTTCACTGACATAGTATTTTTAATTTCTTTGTGATCTTTTGTAGTATTTTTTCTCTTTCACACAGATTGTAGCTTAAAGCCCAACTCAGGGAAATGTGAAAATCCTCCCCTGCTGTTGGGCTGCACCTACACTGCAGGAGTTAACTGATTGTTTAGTTTGGGAAAGAAAATCACTTTGACTTACCTGATTCTCCTCTCCCCCTTCAAAGTGCATTATACCAGGGCCCAATGGTGGACTGTCACTTTAAGGTTGATATACTAAGACTTGAGAGTGCAAAATCTGGTGCAGCTATGCATGCTAGCCAATCAGCTTCTAACTTTGACTTGTTAAATTAAGCTCTGACCATAAAACCTGGAAGCCGATTGGTTCCTGTGCAGAGCTGCATCAGATTTTGCACTCTACAGTTTTAGTAAATCAACCCCACTGTGTCATCACATCCAATGCAGGAATATGGACCCTTCTTTGCTCTTGATGATATTGGACCTTAGTCCAGTAGTGTATGCAGGGCTGCTGTTATAAACCATACAGCCAACCTGAGAGGGCACCCCACCAAAAAATAAAAAAACAGTTTGCTATGCTTTAGTTATGAATGAACACAGTGAGTGATCGGTACCGATCACTCATTGTGTTCATTCAGGAAAGGAAGGGGCTGGTAAATGTGACATATTTACCAGACCTTTCACCCACTCCATCCTGAAGGATCTTATTGAATGCTTGCAGATGCTGGTGGGTAAGCCAGCAGCACTGTGGGGGTGGGGGCACTAATGGGGGCCTGAGCAGCAGGGGGAAATATATTTCCCTCTGCTGATGCCCTCCCTGACCACATCCCATTCAGCTGCTTGGACCCCCCTGCTGGCCTGGGCCCCTTACAAGAGGATTGGTGGTACCCCTTTATCCATGGCCCTGAGTGTATGGGGAAGAAGACACCACGGGGCCAGTCTAGCAGTGCAGAGGAGTTGAGGGTTTGGTAAGCAGATCTTTATTTCTATGAACCATAGGCCTAAGTGAATGATTAACCCATGCAGTGTGGGTGCAGTTGGGCTTTAATGTCCTCTTCTGTCTGTTCAAATGGTCATTGTCAGTTGTGATTCTGCCATTGGGTCTAATTTTGGAGTTCTAGAGTAAATAAAGAAAGGGTATTCCTCTTGTTTTATGTAGCCCCCTGGTCCTAAATTGGGATTATTATGCAAATCTAGTTTTTGCCTGGGCTGTAGCTGGCTCAGATTGATTATACAGTTTCTTATCTGGCTTTCCCTTAATCTATACTACACACATCTGTGTTTTCGAGCTTTGGATCCTTGATGACATCTTGACCGCTGGTTTCCCTTGGTGGATTCAGATCGCATCATTTTACTTGGATACACTGGCTGATATACTACAATTCCTGGTGGTGCTCATCAACCGATCCGAATACTGGATGTCCAACCATAGATGACCTAATATCATCAATTATATGCGCAATAATAAGCGCTATCTGGTTAGTGCATTGTACAGCTACATCTACCACCAAAGTCACCATCCAATATTTTAAATATTAGATAGACTGTCACGATTTATCACCTATCTGTATTATTGTGTAATACCTGTTTATTAAATTAATCATCTCGGATAAACAGAGACGCTACACAGATATTTGTACTATATACGATACTATAATGGTCATCACTCAGGATAATTTTTATCTATTCAAGCGCTGCATGGTGTATTATATTTTTGTGGTATAGAAGGTTTTTGAGGTGATTACCTTTCATGCTAGCTGCTCCTGTCACATAGATCTAGCGCTTGTTTTTTTCTTTGATATTTCCCTTAATCTTGGATTGGGTTGTGCATTTCTCACTGTCGCCAGTCGTCACTGGTACCACAGGCCATAGTATGAGATTGCACAACTAGACTGAGTTATGAAGATTTAGATTTCTTCCAGACAGCCCAGTAGGAGGTTCTATGGCTACTGGTGCATTCTGGGAGAGGGTATATTTATTTGGGGTGGGCAATGTGCTCGCTTTCTTGCCTCAGACCAAGGCCTTAGGAGCTGCTGCTGGAGAGAACTCTGTGCTAGGCCCAGCAGCCTGTTTGGGGCCTATCTGCTTTGAAGTGGTCCTGCCCGGCATTGAGGAAGCCAAGCCAAGGTGAGAAGAACAACAGGGAGTCCAAAAATGATCCAGCAACTTCTAAAGGGGTAATGATACATTACTTACAAAGATTAGTAGCTCAACATGAAATTTACATATAAAAATTAATGACTAATCAGTGTCTCATCCTTTGTCAAGCAACTCAATTCTGACTGGAGAATATTACTGCTGCACTGTGCCTTTGGCTAACCCGTAGTGCTCTGTGAATACTTCTCATGCATATTTTTTTGTTGTTCTAACCACTACAGCACCATTCATTGTACTGAAACAGATGTTCAGTGCAATTGCTGTTCTCACAGGACGTCCATAATTTGCCTTTTCTTTTATTTTGGTAAGAGCCCATATTGCCTCCGCAACTGAAATGGTAGAAAAACACACAAGAGGGCGCATACACCTCGTGTATTACCATGGTAAAAAATAATTTATTAAAATCAGAGACAAATGGGTACGTACAAACTAATCATGTAAACAAATATCTAGAGATGTGGGATGTAGAGATGTGGGATCCCTTCCTGGAACCTGTGGGTTGATATAGCTGACGCATTTCGGGAGCTGTACTCCCTTCCTCAGAGTTATATTAATTATTTTTTTTTTCTACCATGGTAATGCATGAGGTGTGTGCGCCCTCTTGTGTGTTTTTCAAGTGGCTTGAAGATTCCCGAATGAGTGACCTATACCGTGGGACAGTGTCCAGCATCTTGATTTGAGCGCTGATGTGTGTTGTTTGGTGCAACTGAAATGGTAGGCTGGAAGGCAGACAGCCAATATTGTGGCATTGTTTTTTTTTTTGGGGGGGGGGGTTAAAATGCCACTGACCTCCAATGATGGGAGAGTTTAAAATGTCACTGATCATCAATCATGAGGGAGTTTAAAATGCCACTGCCCACAGATGATTGTGGGATTGTTTTTTTTTTTTTTTGGGGGGGGTTAAATGTCATTAACCACTAACTGTGGAATTGTTTTGGGGGGTTTTAAAGGGTTTAAAATGTTTTTGGTTTATCCTTAACCTGCAATCTCAGTGCAATGCCATCCTGCTGGGACCTTTCTTCCACTAATAACATAAGACTTGCACTTGGCTTCAGTGGGCACTCCTTATAGCGGAGCTCAACTCAAAAGGGGAAGTTCCGCTTTTTAAGAACTGGCACCTTTCGGGGGCAGGGGGGGAGCAGGTACCCGAATTTGACAGGTGCCCGCTCCCACTTCCAGTCCGATCGCCTAGGCGATCGGAAACGGAAGGTGTCTTCCCTCCCTGTAGTCTTTTTGGGACATGTGAAAGGTCCCAGAAGACTACAGGACCATTAATGAAGCGCAGCGCTACTCACGCATG